TTCTCTTCCAGTACCATGTCCAAATCGCACTCACCAAGCAACGCCTCTATTTGCATTTTCCACCATGCAAAATCAGTACCGTTGAACTTCTCGATTCGAACCCTCCCGTCCTCAGTCATTGCAAAACGAGAGAAAAAAAACCAGAGAAAAAATCAAGGAATAACGGCCTGAAACCAAGCAACCTCCAAAAGAAAACAAACCCTAAAACAAAGAACCCGAACCAACGAGTACCAGGTCCAAAACCAGAAACCCTAATCGCCAAGTTCACCTAAAACCGACCGAACAGCCCCTGACCAGATCCGAACCAGCCTCTGATCAGATCCGAACCAGCCCCTGATCAGATCTGAACCAGCCCCTTAACCGCGGCAGCAAAACAGCAGCAAAACGATCCTGAACAGCCTTCTTCCTGCGATTGATCCTGTGTAACCGTGTGTTTAACCGAACCAAGGCTCTGATACCACTTGTTAGGAATCAGAGATCAGAGGCGGTCAAGCGGAAGCGAACAAACACACACACACAAATAGCAGAAAATAAGAACACGAGATTTAACGTGGTTCGGTCAGTAACCTCATGCGAAATCCTTCAAGTGGGAGATTGTTGGGTTATTCAGTGAAGGCTTTGGAGCTTTGGGCTTTAAGCCCGGTCGGTTAAAGGGAAGAAATATGGGGGCCCGGTTTTAGTTATTAATTAAAGGGCCCATTAGTTGTTTCTTGTTTAGCAAGTTGTTAACCCTAATTTATATCTTATAAATACCCAATCATGTAACTATAATCTGTGAGCACCTAATAAAAGATAAACCCTAGTTGCAACCCGTGGAGTAGGTTACTGACCGAACCACGTTAAATCTCGTGTTCTTATTTCTGCTATTTGTGTGTGTGTGTGTGTTTGTTCGCTTCCGCTTGACCGCCTCTGATCTCTGATTCCTAACAGATCACCCATTAGAATTTAATGTAACTGGTTAATTTGGTCAACTTAGACATATAAATAAAAATGAAGGGACAATATCAGTAAAAAATTGGTCCTTGTAGGCACTGTTCTTGAGGAGTCTGCCATATCCCAGCTATGCTCTTAGCCTCATGATAGTCATCCACCAAAACCCTCATTTTCACTCATTTCTTTCATGCACCATATACAGTGTATTTTATGTTTATTATGCCGCAACGCTGTCTCTTTTCACACCTTTAACCTATGTCATTTTTGGTTTTCCACATTTTCTATTTGTCTCTCCCTCTCCTCTACTCCTTCAAGGTAATCAAAATCACAACCCAAGTCGTAGGATCATCCCATTGTACGAGTGATCCTGGCTATAGCAATTCAGATCACACCTAGAATCAGAAATCTACCTGTATTGGTTCGATAGGTGCGCAGAGATGGAGAATCGCTAGGGTCGGACGGGTTTTCCTAACCATTTATAGTTTAGCCTTGGAGGAAAAAAACATATCCAAATTCCTAAAAGTCACACCTCCCCAATTTCTAACCTTATCACAGTAGTAAGAATAATCTTCTGATTGGTTCTGCCTCTCTAATCAACAAGCTGCAAGCCTTCTATTTTCCAATTGGAAAATGATGCCTACTACTCTTATTCTATCGGGCTCTAACTTTGTTAATTCTTTCTGCTTCTATCATCTGCATTTCAATTTGAGTCAGGTATGCCTTGTTATGTATTTGTTCCGCTATATTCTTCACTTCTTCACTTTTACAATGTTTTGTTTTGAGTTTTGTGTTAAGATGCTTTGCATCTTAGTACTTATTTCATTTGAAGTTCGCTTTTGCTCTTTTTTTTACTTATCTCCTTCTGACACACACACACACACAATAGATAACTGTAGGACCTTACGATCTGTGCTACAATCTTATTACTTGTGATCTTTAGGTCCTTACTGGATCCTAGGAGTTTGACCATATTTATTAATGGTGAGTGGTGAGGGGCGGGCGAATTGACCCATTTTTATGGCAAGAGGTGGGTGGTCAAATGACAAATGTACATGCATATACACACACACACACACACACACACACACACACACACACACACACACACATAAACGGTAAGTCTAAAATGACACCAGTGCTACTGGTGTCATTTGCTTACACTAGTTCGTTTGGGGTACCTACGGTGCTCTGTTTGTAAAAACGACGGTTCCTACCCACCCTAACCCCCCCTAAACCCCCCACCCCAGCCCCACCCTTGCCCCCCCACCCCAGCCCCCCTCCCGCCCCCCTCCACTGGCAGGGTAGGGAGGGGGGCAGGAGGGGGGGCTGGGGTGGGGGGGAAAGGGTGGGGCTGGGATGGGGGGTTTAGGGGGAGGGTTAGGGTGGGTAGGAACCGTCGTTTTTACAAACGGAGAACCGTAGGTACCCCAAACGAACTGGTGTAAGTAACTGGTGTATAAGTAACTGGTGTATATATATATAAAGTATGTTACTATATATATGTATGTTACTATATGTATGTATGTATAAACACATACTCCGTAATATTGATACTATATATGTATGTGTGTCAGTGTGTGTGTGTATGTATTATGGAGTAATATATAGCAATAAATATGCATTGCATATCCTAAAGCCTCCGAAAGCAGCTTGCGGAGATCTTTAACATGAACCGGAGGATCCTTGCTTTTAAGAACAAACCACCCACCCCCCCTTTGGATGGTTTTCTGAATGAGAACTCTTCCGCTTACCAGGCCAAACCTACAAAACCCCGTCGCCACATTCCTCAGGTAGGCGAGAAAGGCGAGCTAGGCGAACAGCCGAACACCTGAGGTAGTGATTGAGGCGAGAAAAGCGAGGAAGGCTACCGCCTTAGGCGCGCCTTGGCGATCTCGCGGTTCTCGCCTCGCCAAGCTTCCTTGAGGTGCTGAGACCTTTCCTTCGCCATAGGCGAGAGAGGCGAGCGCCTCTAATAACTATGAGTTTGACTACCTTGCTCTCCTTCTTAAAAATATTTTAAAACACAAAAAGGATGATACAATTAATAAGACAAGGAATCATCTGGTGAAATAATCCAAGCAAAAATAAAGAAGAGACTGAGCGAAGTGCATCCTCATATCCAATTGCAAGTAATCATTTGATAATAATTCTTCTTCTAACCCCGCATGTGACTCAATAAGTTCATAACTGCAGGAACTACGTGCCTACCAAGCTGATGTTGCTACTGTTCTTCGTAACGGTAATCTTCTTTTTATTTCTGTAGTTACAGTTACTTTCACTTTCACTGAGTTTAATTAAAGTGTTGAAAAGTGAAAATATGTGTTTGGGAATTGTTTAGATGCAAGAGAATGTCTTTGAACCACATGTTCAATACTTAACAAAGTAAATAAAGCAAGAAGTTTTATTTGGGACATCGAAAAGGGGAAAGTGTGATGTTTTTTTGTGGGACGAATGGAGTTTTTAACATCCTACCTACAACTTCTATGCAATATTATTTTTCTTAATTAATTACTTAATTTATTTATTTATTTTTGCATCATGTTCGAGTCATGGTTATGATGGTAGTTGACAGATCATGTTACTTAAATACCAACAACAAACCCAATAAAATCACAACTCTTGTTTTTGTTTCGGGGGGGGGGGGGGG